AATCACTCTTCCTTTATAACCCATGGATGCCCTGTTCATCATTTCAATTGCAAACTAATCAGTAAGCCCACTGGTTGAGAAAGTAAATTTTAATAGATTTTTTAATCGAGTAATCATGACAGCCCTAGTAACGATTAATCCGTTAACAGTGACCCTGCACTGAGAAAAGCAATGCACTGAATTTACCTGATTCAAATCATTTCTATATGAATGTGTCAGCAAAATTATTGCTAAAAATAAACCGTAAGACAAAACTGTGTTAATATAACATAATTTTATTTATGTGGAAATGATGGGTAATGCTTTCTTTTACAGTCCCCTAAGTTACCCGTATAGCTAGCTGGTACTTTTACCATTTACTTTCCTGCTCTAAGTGGAATCCCACTGATTCTTCAAAAATTCTGCCTAATCAAATTAATGTAAACAAGTAATTCAGAGTGGTTTGATGTGAAATGCATATCTCACACATACCTGGCTTAATACTTAGAACCAAAGCTTCAGTAAAAGGAAGAATTACTGAAACGATGTGCATATTTTACTCAAGCAAATTCAATGCAGTTTCAGTGCAGTGTTGTTTCTCTAATCATCTTATCAGGTGATAATTCAAAATTGAATTGACTGAATGGTGACAATCATCATGATTGGGTCAAACTACACAGTCCAGCTCCAGTTCTAAGACTGCAGCATGGTTGTACAAGCATAATTAGCAAGCCAAGTACAGGCAAGTGTGTGTGGTTTGTTGGCTGACTCTGGTGAGAGTCTGAGCTAAATGATAATTTGGCGTGAGTTGAATCAAGAGATAAGAATAGCAGTGCTGCCTGGGGGGCTAACAGAGCCTGATAAAAGCTTACTGTGTTTTTGGGCCGATTTTCGTTTGGACAGATTGAGAAAGTGAAGAGGGAATCAAACGCTGTTACGTCTGTTTGGCTGTCTGTCACGCTCTGCCACCAAATGGCCAGACTTTGGCCCAAACCTCTGACACGTGATTTGGCTGAACTACCCAAAGCTGATGCCTCTTTTAGTTGACAAATTGGCACAGTTTTAAAAGAAAAGGTTGCTAAATGGTTTCTGGTTTGGAACCTTTACATTATCTGGAGATTCTTTCTTAATTCATTAAAGGCCCAAATCATACATCTTTCCTGTATTTTAGTTTTTCCCTCTTAGGTCCACTCAAGACAGTTGTCTAAGTTTAGGCACCAAAAAAAGTCCTTATTCATATTACATGGCCATTTTCCAGCCCCTCTATATCCTTCAGATTTAGACAGACTGTTTCTCTTTTCTTTACTGTGTCTTTAAGACTGATATATGTAAATGAGCTCTGTTCTGATTGGCTGCTTTACATTGTGCCTCGTTCAAAATCAGTCCAAGATGAAATACTCCCTATAACTTCAGTATAAACTGGTGGGCCTTAACTGCTGTAGGATGAATAGGTCAATATTGTGTAAATGCATTGGTTTTTGTGACATCACAAAAACAGTGAATTCAAAACAGGTTGTTTTTGCAGCTTAGTTTAACAGTGTTTACATGCTACATCAAACTCCTATTAAAGAAAATCAAGGAAAATGTATTTTTTGTGATATGGGCCCTTTAAATTTAAACAGCCCGGGCAGTTTTTTGAATGAGGCACAATACAGGGCAGCCAATCACACACCAATCTTAGGCTACGTTCACATTACCAGGCTGAAGTGGCACAAATCCGATTTTTTGCCCTAATGTGACTCAGATCTGATGTTTTCAGGTCTGTGTGGACACGCAAATCTGAAATTTTCAAATTCAGAGTCACTTTCCTAGTCCTAGATCGGATGTCTATGCGATTCGTGGCCTTGCGATCTTAATACGAACACTCGGATCGAAATTCATGTGCTTTTTTTTTTTTTACAGTGCATGCAGAAGTAGAAACATTCTACTTGTAATGTGAACGTAGCATTAAATGCACAGTAACAAAATCAGCATCAGCATGTTTAATCCTAAGGGATAGAGAGAGGTTTAAAAATGGTGATGTAAAAATGAATTATGACTGTTTTTGGTAGATAAAACCACATAACGTTCATAAGTTGAGCGAAGGAAAAAAAATAAAAGAAAACAAAAAGGTAGGACATGGACTGTTTAAGAGCGTACTTGCTAACTTGCTCGCAGTTGTTGTGTTATACTCATAAATACGAATGCTTTTTCACATACAGTTCCTTGGCATTAAAAGCAGGCTCGGCACAGAGTAGGCCAGCTGGAGCCTGCAGTGGAGCTTGCAGTCAAATCTGTTCAAGTGTTTGTGCCCATTCATAAATATTAAAGATCGGACTGAGGAAGAGACGGAAAGAGAAGAGATCAGAAGGAAGAAGGAGGATGAGAAAGAAGACGAGTGAGGGGGCACGCAGACTGGTGAGAAAGCAGCTAAGAGAGCGATGAAGCAAGGCATGGAAGTGGAGATTGAATCTGGAGGTGGGGTGTTTGAGTTTGTTTCCCTTCAGCCTAGCTAGCTATGACTTCTAAAATCCTTCACACTGAACCTGTCCTGCACTCGCAGTCACCCAGTTCCTAACGCATGGGCTCTGCAGACTCTCTTAGCAGACCAAGTTCACCCAGAGGCAAGAGAAGGAAGAAGGGAATACTTTGTCATGGTCATTTACTGCTCCGATTCTTCCTCGTCTCATCGGGCCATTAATAGCTTCGGGACAAATATTGCTTTGCTTTGTTTGACACGAAAAGGTCTTACATGCTGCAAACCCATTATCATCTCTGTATAATGTCCCTGTCGTATCAAAAACCTTGTTACGTCATCGGAAAACGCCAGCTGCCCTTTACATTTCATGGTGAATGGATCAACAGAAATGGCCCAAAGTCACTTGCAATAAAATCTTGCTACATTGACATACTTTGATAAAAGTTAAGAACATGTGTCCTTCTGTAAACTTTACGTTATTATAATTGTAAAGTATCTATCCAGGAATACCTTAGTACCTCTGAAACATAGTACAAAGGCAGTCTTCTCTTACCATTCCAAACACTTTTGTGCTGCTAACATGCTGTTGGCAATATTACATGCGCATGGTTGTGAGGCCAAGCTGTAGGCTTTTTAAGGCTAATGATGGGATACTAAAGCTCAGGATCATTGATCCGTCTCTGCCCGTATTAAGAGCTGTCCGCCTTGTTAACCCGGGGAATCATCCGCTCCATTGCACTGATGTCCCTGCGTCATCAGGCAACCCATTGCTGGTGCTACACCAATCAGATACTAAATAAATCACTGCAGTTATTCCAGGATATACACAATATCTTAATAGGCCATTAACCTGTCATAAAAGGCAATAAGGCACAGAAAACACAATGGTCCTCATTCAGCAAACGTTCCTGAGAACATGTCATGAATCTGACATAGACTTTTTCTTAGAAAAACTTGCTAAGACTGGTGACTGAGGCCCAGTGATGATAAGTTGTTGTTGGATGGCTGTTGTGAATGTTGTGTGTGCTTTGGCATGCTGACCTATGATGTGTACATTCGGAAACTGTTTTTGTACAATGAAATTCTGAACCTGTGAAGCCAAAACAAAAAATAAAATTAATTTTCAGGTCAAATGAACAATAACTGTTCAACTGAACAACTGAAAGTGAAATCAGTTAAATAAAATGAACTGAGCAAAATGCAACTGAATTTATCTGAATTAAACTGATCTAGACTAAACTGAATTAAACAGGGATGAACTGAAATTGAACTGATTCAAAACTGAACTGAATTAGCCTAAGATTTGGTGATACTAAGAGAAAAGCAGAAGCGGCTGAGTGAAACCAAACTAAAGTGAACTGAAGTGTAATGATCTGAATCAAATGAACTAATCTAAATGGAATGGAAATAAACTATATTTACACTAAATGCAGTGTATATGCCTAAGATTTGAGAAACCAGTAGCTGCTGAATGGAACTGAACTGAACAGAACTGAAGTGTATCCGAGGGAAAATTTAACTGAATGGAATTACACTAAACAGAATTAGCCTAGGATTTCAGAAAACTGATTACTGCAAATGGGGCCAAACTGAACTGAACTGGAATTAACTGAACCAGACTAAACGTAATAAAAACTGAACTAAATTCAACTACACTGAATTAGCTTAACACTTGAGAAAAACCAGTAACTGCTGAATGGAACTTAACTGAACTGAACTAAACTGGAATTAACTGAATTGTACTAAACTGAACCGAACAAAACAGATCTGAACCAAACTAAATTTACCTGAATTAAATTTAACTTCACTGAAGACTCCTGAATGGAACTGAATTAAACTGGAATTAAATGAATTGTACTAAATTGAATAAAACTGCACAGGTTTGGATGGAACTGAATTTAAGTAATCGAATTTAACTAAATTAGCCAAAAACCTGAGAAAAAAACAGTAGCTGCTGAACGGAACTGAACCGAACTGAACTAAACTAGAATTATCTGAATTGTACTAAACTGGATTAAACTAAACGGATTTGAACTGAACAAAATTCAAGTGAATCGCAAAACGACACTGAATTTGCCTAAGGAAAAAAAACAGTAGCTGCTGAATGGAACTGGACTGAACTTAACTACACTGGAATTAACTGAATTTAACCAAACTGAATTTAACCAAACTGAATTGAACTAAACAGATTTGAACTGAACTAAATTTAAGCGAATCACAAAAGTACACTGAATTCACCAAAGACCTGAGATAAAACAGTAGCTCCTGAATGGAACAAAACTGAATTGAACTAAACTGGAATTAACCGAATTGTACTAAACTGAATTGAACTAAGCGAATCTGAACTGCATTTAAGTAATTCGAATTATATTACACTGAATTAGCCTAAAGCTTGATAAAACCCAGTAACTGCTCAATGGAACTGAACTGAATTGAGCTAAACTGGAATGAACTGAACTGAATCAAGCTGAGCTGAATGAGCCTCCGGTTTGCTATCACCCCGCAGTAGCTGGCCGTTTAGTGAAGGCTGAAGGAGATGTGGTCGCGTGATGTGGTCTCTTACCTAATGATATCGTCGTTGTGTCCTAAATAAAACTTCTGGCTGTGCTCTCTGGTGTTGTACACGACGCCCACTCCAGCCACGAAGTACACTATCTCCTTGCCCGCCGTGTAGAAGAGGTTATTGCGGCACTGATGGCCACGATACCCGTGGATCCACTCGAGCCGGAGCTGGCAGCGTGGAGCTGTCTTATCGGCCAT